TGGGGTATAGGGGAAACTGATGGCAAATACTCCCTTATCATTCCCTTGCTTTGCAGGATTTTTTGAGCTGCAGGTGGAGAGGCCCATTGGAGGGTGAAGAAGCCAACTTAGTAGGTCATGGCCATTTTTAAGGAAAGAATAAAATGGAATAGAATAAGTTAGAAAAAAATCAGGGTGCAGCTCAAATAATCAATATATTCATGATCCCTAAAATGGATCTTGAATCTTGACAAATAAAGTAGAAGTCACGTCACTTGGCATTACAGCTCACTACATAGCTATAGTGATTAGCACAGTGTTCTCTTTGCAAAAAGAAATGCATAGATCAATGGAACAGAATTGAGAACCCATAACTAAACCTCCATAAATATGCCCAACTGGTTTTTGACAAAAGTAGAAAACCAGTTCAAGTGGTGGACAATTCAGTTGACCTTTTCAATTCAAATTCAATGCCATCACATCCGCAGTCTAAGAAGCAGCAAGAAGACAGGAGAAGCAACTGTAGGCCAGCTTTCTTTTATGAAAAGTATCTAGGAGCTACCACTAGGCCTTTAGCTGCGGCCCTTTGGCCAGAACTTAGTCACCTGGCCACACCAACTATAAGGAAATCTGAGAAATGGCATCTTCATTCTGAGCGGCCACATACCCTGTTAAATTTTCTGTTGTTACATATAAATAGAGAAAAATAGATACAGGGGACAGTTTACTGTCTGTCTGTGCTACACAGAGATGTGCAAGTGCAGAATTCCATTTCTCCTGGAAGTCAAAATGGTATTTCCACGGCACATGTTTGACCCCTGATTAATAAGCTCAGATGCCTCCCTCATGCACACAGTAAGTTCAGACTCCTTTGCACGGCAGTTCAGGCTCTTGAACGTTTGGCCCACCCGGTTTCCAGCCCTCCTCCGCCCTCTGCATTCTCTGCAAATGCTCCTACTCTGCCACTGCTGCGCTCCCGCCAAGCCGTCTTTTCCAGGATTGCTCTCTCGTTCCCTCCCAGCTCCACAGGAGAGCGCACCAAAGATGCCCCGTCCGTGCAGGCCTAGACCAACGGTCATTTTCTCTCTCTGATGCTCCTCCTGACTCAGCAAATTTAGCAGAAGTAGCCGCTGCTTCTCTAGACTTTCATTAATCCGTACATATGTTGATTACAGCTTTTACCTCATGTCTGACAGCAACCTATTGATCCGTTTTGTTGTTGTTTTGCTTTTCATTTTCTTTTGTTCTTGCTGTGGACTAAGTATTCTGTCGAGACAGCATCTATCTTCTTAAATTCTATTGCCACAGATCTTGGGATCTCTCCTTGCCCTTAACAGTTATCTGTGGAATTGTTGATAAGTTTCTCAGGGTCAAAAAGTAGAAAGAAAGAAAAAAATGTCTCTTTACAACAGGTGTGCTTTGACTGGACAAAACTGGTATTTCACAGGTTTTGCTGTGAAGAAATAATCTGTGTTAGTACTGCTAAAAAAGCTAAGGTGAAGAGAACAATTCTTTGATATCCTGAGACTATTTGACTGTAGTGAGCAAGTCACAGGGAAGTCTCCTTGGACCTTGGCCCGCCAGCAGGAGCACCTGTCTGCTTCAGGGAGGGACATGCCTTCAGATTTTAATAAGGAAAGACAAAGGAACAAGGACAACTTCAAAAACATCAATTCTGTAGAGTTACTTATTTGGGATGGAAATCCTCTACTGTCTAAAGAAACACATTTTATTCTTGGAAGCCAGGACTTTTTTTACATAAAGAGTATTTTACATTTTATTATGATTTTTAAGCTTGAGTTTGACATACTTTACCTCAGTAAAAATTTTTTTTTTTGGGGGATTAGATGGGAAAAATTTATACCCATTGAACAACAGCTCCCAATTTACTGTCCCTCCAGCCTTTGGCAACTACCATTCTACACTCTTTTCCTCTGAGTTTGATATTTCAGGGACCTCATAGAAGTGGAGTCATGCAGTATTTTTCCCTCTGCAACTGGCTTATTTCACTTAGCATAACTTCCCCCAGGTTAGTCCATGTAGTCACATATAGCAAAATTTCCTTTTTTTAAGGCTGAATAATCCATTGTATGTGTATACCACATTTTCTTTATCCATTATCTATCCATGGACATTTATGTTGTTTCCACATCTTGGCTATTGTGAATAATGCATACTCCTTTTTTGAATGAAATGCCAGGTGTCATTTTTCATCAGTGACATCAAGCTGGCCTTCCTGAGCCCCAGTTTCTTACAGAGGTAAAATCTAGATCCCGTACGTGTCAGAGACAGCTTCGTTTATTAGATCTGCATGTGCTCTTCTATGTTTGACGGTTTCCAGTTGGATTGAAGCCATGTGACTTATTTTAACCAATGGGCTGCGAACAGAATTGTCATGTGTCAATACCCATCATGCAGGTAAGATCCAATATCTTCTATCTTTGTCTTCCCATGAAGCACACATGTTTCAGATGGCATAGTTACGAGGTAAAGAAAGATTACATGAGAAAGAAATAAAACCTAAACATGTTAAACCACTGAGACTAGAGAGTTTGTCTGTAGCAGATAGGATTAATAACTATGACTAGTATGCTGACAGTGCAAGGTTCTTAGGAGGATTAAATAAGTCATTTACATACAAGCTTCAGCACAGTGTCTGAGAGAAATACATACCAGGCATAGGTGAAGACTGCTGTTATGTAATAAGATGGTTCTGAAAGAAAACTGCCTGAAGGACAGGAAACTTTGTTCTAAACTTGTAGAACTTTAGACCTCTAGTGTTTTCCAAACTTGTCTGATTATAAACTTCAGGTTCTTAGTAAAAAATATAGATTTCTAGGCCTGGCCCCCATTAAAATGAATCAGAATCTTTAAGGGGGATTTCAATCCCAATTGCTTTGTTGGTTTTTATACAGAAGGAAAGTGACTCATATGGGTTAATGATTTTTTTAAGACCACAGAACTGATTATTTAGCCTGTTGGGGCTAGAACCCAGCTTCCATAAGGTCTATTGTTTTACTTCTGGGCTCACACAATAATGTTCTAACAGAGTGAAGCCAAGACTGACCCTTTGTCCCCTTTTCTCTGATAAATCATGTCAAGACCTGCAAATGATTTTACCCCTTAACAATGAAAAGAAGATGTAATTTTAAAATTACCTTGGATGTACAGTAAAAGCAACATTCCCATAATCAATCATCCTAAATCATGGGGTTATTTGGAGCTATTTGAAGGAAAGTAAATTGAAAACATGTTGTTAAACAATGCACCAAAGAGTTATCAAATCATAAACATCCAGATTACTTTAACATGTTGATTATTCCACATTTAAGATCTCCTTACAAAGTAACTCTGGCAATGAAGAGACCTAGAAAATTCAATGAATCCCCTCCTAAGTTGTTAACTGTATTAGGTTCAATCACTTGGCCATGTGGGAACATATGTTAAAGTTAAAATATAATATATAGAAATATATTATGCATGTAGGTATGTGTGTGTATATATATATACTCTTTTCACAGCTATTATTCACACTTCACTAAGCAGAAGACATGGAGGGCTGTTATTAGGCCATGTCTCTGAGGATACAGAAATTGCTTGGGGAGTGCAGTGTTATTACATTGAACACATTAAAACCTATCTGGATCTTTGGAAATCAAATATACAGACATTCCACAATGACCCTTGGGTTTTAGCATAATTCCTGAACCTGAAAATTCATAACTAAATAATAGCAGCCCATTTATGACATAAAATGCCTTAAACCATTTGTTTATTATTATATGTGGATTTGAAGTTTTATGTTTAAGAAAATTGAAAGTCTACCCCTTTTTCCCCCCTTGGAGAAGTGATATACCAATTACCTTTGAGATTCCTTGTTTTTCTCATTGGAAGAGAGCTAAACCAGGACTGGAATTTATGTCAAAGCATCTATTTGGTTATCAAATCTGTGATCATACACTTTTGTTCAACTAAACCAAATGAAATCAACCTTTGTTGAAAAATAAGTGATGTAATTCCTGGAGGATCCCGTTTTACTCCCAGGATAGTGGCCTGGTTCTTCTAAGTACCTCGTAAGAAAGCAAAGTCTGAAATGGTTCTTGAAACTGGAAAGAGAAAATTGCATAGAATATGGCAGGTGTCTAGAATGAGCCACTACCCATGAGTGATCTGTCATCTAAGGGGTCACCACGACACAACTAAATTACACAGGCCTCCTTCCTGAGACCGGATTCAAAGACTGAACTTCTAAAATTAATCTAGATGTTATTTCTTCTTTGAGTTCTAAAACAAGCCCAGGGAAGATTAGAAGTCATTCATCTGACTGAGAATCGCAGTGCATCCTCTGACTGTTCTTGGAATGGATTCCTTATGTGGACACAGTGTGAGTTAAATTGCATCTGGTTATTGTTTTAGAGAATTCTGCTGAAATTCAAACTGAGCCTGAGTACTGTGGGCTGATTTATCAGTGCTGCCCATGTGCGGGCCGGAATGAAGCCGAGAGGTGAGACAGCTCAGGTCCACATCGCAGTGGCGTTCCCCAAGGCCCAGGGGGCGCGAAGGCCACGTGCTTCCGGACAGAGAAGCCTTCTCTCACGGCTTTGGTAATAGTCCAAAGGGACAAGGAACAACAGCAGCACGGGAAGAAGATGGAATTGGAAATCAGACATAGCTGAATCGTAATCCATGCTCCACCACATAGGAGATACATGACTTTTGAGTAAGTTTCTTTATCTCTCTGAACCTCAATTTTCTTATTGGTAAAGTAGGAAAAACAAACACTTACCTGCCTTATGCAGTTATGAGAATTAAGGGGATACTTTCTGCATAGGACCTGGAGTCTGGTAGATGGTCAAAAACATTGAAAAAGTGTAAGTCTTCATTAATCCCACACAGTTTATGTACTTAAATATTGACTGTGTGTCAAGCACTTTCCTCCTGTTGATGCCAGCAGGGCACCCAGCATTACAGTAGTGATTACTCAATAAATCAGTCATGGAATGACGAAATGATAGCTGGATTTCTTTTAATATTGATTAGCTTTGGTCATGAAAGGACAGACAGGAAGACAAAGGGAAATGTCTGTGTGCTAGTGCTGTAGATCCCCCGTGTACACAGAAGTGCGGGCTTCCAGGGGGAAGTGCTCTCTCACCTCAGCCCCCTGCTCTTCTGTGGATGGCTGTGCCCCGGCTGCTGGGCTGGTAGGCCTCATTGACTGTTTTGTGGTCTTGCTTCTTCTGAGTCCAGAGGGTAAAACACTGAAACACAAACTAAAAATGTCTAGTTCTATCCTGCTACAAGAGCTCCCAGGGGCTGGGCAGAGGTTTTGCGGCTTCACCACAAGCATTTACAAGGGCCGCACACTTTGGCAGCACCCAGCCTCTGCAGACCCAGAATGCCACTGAATTTCTGGGGTCAGGAAAGCAGGCCATCCTGGGGGGTCCCAGAAAAGACCAATTTAACTTGGTTCATCAGCACGCTATGCTCAAACCCCTGTGTAGCCAGGTCTTGCTCGGTTTCTGGTTTCCAAATGAAATTTTCACACGGCCCAAATCCCAACCCACCCTAATTTAAAGAAACAGGCACTTGGCATGTGACCCAGATAGATCAGCAGTTGTTCACATACAGCTGTGCACATCTGGCACACAGGTATGTGATTTTTGCATGAAGATAAATTGTGTGGGGACCGAATGCACAGTTGTTAAACTAAAAATGAATCGCTTTTTGGAAGCAATCTTCCTGCACAGCGGGGCCTCTGTGTGAGCTTGATCCTTTTCATTAGGCCTTTCTCAGGAAGCACAGCCTGTTGCAGAAGGTCTGTGCGTGAAGGAAGGGGCATGCTCACACCTGCAGTTGGATCTCTGCTGCTTCCTTCAAATTAGAACTTAGACACAGTCTCTGCCGGCCACACTCGGCTGTCTTCCCAAGGGAACAAGTTACTCAGAGTCCAGGATCAAGGAGAGGCCAGCTCCTTCCTTGGTACTGCTCCACTTTCTATAAACTAGGCTTCATCCAGGGCCTAGTCATCAGGGAGAGTCTCTTTGTGGATAGTTGCTGAAGAATTAGGGCCCTTTACCAACTTCGTGGGCCAAGAAGTCCACCTCCCTTGGGAGCCTCATGAAGTCCATGGCGTCCACCCCTGTGAGAGCATCTTTCCCACGGTTCAAGTACTTCTAACTCAGGAGAGAAAGGCATGCTCATCTGCTCTTCAAATCGGAGGCATTCACTGGCTGGGAGAAAACAGGAAGAATGAGTCTGAGGTAGGCAGTGTCCCGGATTCTGTGAAGCACTTTGGGGTTGCAGTGGGCTCAGGGACTAAGGCTTGATGTAGAATGTTCCATTCCAGACTTAAGTTCCTAGTTTCAGCAATAAGAAGATATTTGCACAAATGAATCAAGATTCTGAAGATTCTTCCCATCTTATTTCTATGTAGTGAGATTACAAGTAATATAGCACATTGGTGCTCTAGTTTCTCTGTCTCTCGCTCTCTCCCATATCTATCGATCACTCAGAACAAACACATCCAATAAGCGCAAGGGAAACAGCAATAATTTTAGAGGGAAATACAATCTATATCTTATCCTATTGCATTAGAGTAATAAATCAGCCAGTAATAAATATCCATTTCTGTAGTGTTATGTATACCGCTTATATAGTTTTTGTCTGGGTTCTTTACCCCTTTCCCAGCTTAATGAACCTTCCATCATTCTTTATAGTTCAACTCAGGTCTCAACTGTTTCATGACTCTGGCACAGGAGATGACTATTCTCTATGCTTCCAGCATGTAGCATGCATACCTATCTTTTTGCACCACACCGGGTTTGTGATGATCTCTTCACATGTTTGCTCTCCCACACACTGTGGGCCCCTCCAGAGCAAGGGCTGTCTAGTCCTTTCTGTCTCCAACACCTAGCCCTATTAACTAAATATATAGTTGGTAAATGTAGACCAATACTGTTCCTTCTTTCCTTGGTATAATTTTGTGAGGACCCAGGTATGCCCTGTTTGAATTCCATGATACCCCAGTATGAGCAGGCGAAGCACCCTCCATAAAGAGGACCTGGGCCTGACCCCAAACCCATCCAGAAAACAGCCACATTCTGAGGTAGCCTGCAAGTGCCAGAATTATCTGGGGTTCTTGACAAAGCAGAACATAAGAAGGATCATGTGAGTGAGAGCATGACAGATGTTGTTTGTTCTTGTTGAAGAAAATCCCAGAAAATGCAAATATTCTTAGGTTTTCCTGCTGGGACCAGGGTTAGTGCAGATACAAGTCCCTGTGGGAGTCATGTGGATAAATTCAAGACCAGCCACAGTAGGGGTCCCCTGAAGGACTTCCAACCCACAAACCGCCAACAGCAAGCTTCCCAAGGGACTGTCCCTATAAGTGCTTCCTTTTTTGCCCATTTGTCCCACCTTTGCTTGGATTGCTAGCTTGTAAGTCTGCTGAACTTCATAGCAAGCAAAAGCCTTGAGGGAGAAGCCCTGTCTTTTGCGGAACCCGACATAAATTCTACACGCATGTACAAACGGCAGGTTGAGGAGAACTGAGAGCATACATGAGTCTGCTGACTAACAAAAAAAAAAAAAGCCATTTACCAGCTGTTTTTCCATTCAGATTTTAGGAATAAAACCCCAAATCGCTCACCAAAATTAATGACTGATAAAATTGTCAGTCCCTGTTTTCCTGGGAGGAGAATTTTATCTCAGGGTCCAATGTGACAATAAAAACTCTGACTGGGCAGGTCAGAAAAAAGGGTTTCTAAGAGGAGTATCTCATGATTTCTTACCCTGACACCAACACCCCCAACATTACCCAAGGCTGCTTTTTGTCCCTGTCCTTTCCCTTAGACTGCGTGTTCTCTCCCGCCAAGCCTCTATCCCATGACGGCCTGACGCAGCCTGGCCTCTCCTGTCACGACCTGCACATGACAGGGGCTGTCCCATCCTTTACTATGTGTGGGGAGCGGCACCGCTACCTGGAGTGGGGGAGGGGAGGATCAAACCACAGCTCTGTCATGGTTTCTGTGGAAAAATACACATTGTAAATATAACCCTCTGAGGAGGTGACTGGATTTGGCCAGAATCTTTTAGCCACCTAGGAACTTTCTGTACTTGCTAGTACAGAAACTTGCATGCCGTACTTGCATGCCGCCCAATCAGAAACACCGCACGTCTCCAAGTGAGGGAGTGAGAAGCCCAGTGGCCAGTGTGCAGCCAAGCTAGGGCTTCCTGTGCACTTCCGGCCAGCCTCTCCTAAGCTTCTGCACAATAAACTGGCAAGTGTTAAGGGAAGCTCCGGAGGGCAACAGGGTAAAGCAAATGAAGGTGAGGTGGGGGATGCAGACAGCACTAGATTGGGAATTAAGGTGGGATCTCACCCAACTTTCCACTGCGGCTTCAAAAACGGCTCTTTCCTTCTCTGAGCCTGTTTCTTTCATTCCAAAATAAGGAAAATCAACTATACAAATACAGTTGGTTTTACCTTTTATTTTTTTCACCGTCTACAGTCTTCACAAAAAATGTCTATTTGTAGAAACCAAAATTGATGTTTTCAGTGCTACTATTCTTGTTTATTTTCTCTTATTTCTTCTCAGGGATTTTCTTGTTTTTTCCAGAAAGATACTGTTGTGCTGAAGCCCCTTTCAGTCCAATTGCCAGTATTGCTCTCTAGAAGCTATCTAAGTCTGGCTGGGCCTAGCACTCAAAGATAAGCCTGTTTTTATGTTTGAGTTACTGATCCATTTAGGTGTTCATTAAATACTTGCTAACTAAAATAACCATCCAACTTTTAAAACAAACCTTGAGAAATGTTCAGTTTCCTATATTGAAAAATATACTGAAAAATCTTTAATATCCTATCCTTAAAAGCAACTGGTACACTATGAACTGTTTTCTGAATTAGTTCCAGGAAGCCTTCCTCTGCTGTTTTAAGAGATACCAGTTTTCAACCAGCTTTGCTGGGCTGGGAGATCTCTGGGGCATCCCATCGTCCAGATTTTCCAGGCATTGATGACATTCTTCAGTCATATCTTTTCATCCAAACCATATCATCCCAGACCTCCAAAACCTGACTCTTTCTCAGAAAGCTGGGTAAATCTTTTAAGCTTATTCTCTCTGTTTCCTAGAGTGCATAATCCCAGGAGTGTATCACATACAGGATATATTTGAAATCAAGGTGTTGTGAAATCCTGACTTAGGTAGGAGTGGAGTTAGCAGTTATCTGTTTATCTGTTCCCAGTGCCTTTGATTAGCAGCTAAAATAGCAAGACACCTTCACAGAAAAGCCCAGAATGAGAAGTGCTATTGGTTTTCAACACTCATTTCCAACCTCGATCACGGATGGCCCTGGTACGTTCTCATACCTACAACTCAACTCCCAACAGTCAGATAAGGAATCATCATTATATATTCTAAGTAGGCTGATAACAGAGTTCTCCATTTCTCATTGTTTTCCCTTGGTAGTATAATTTTCTCTATCTTCTCAATAGCAATCAGAATACCCATGGTTATGCCCCACATATCTCTTTTAAAACTAGTTTCTGGGGAAAAAAAAGTATGTCTAAACCCATTTATGATAAGGGATGGATGAGTGAAAGGATTCTAAAATGAGATATGGGAGTGACTGACATCATAGGAGAGGGGAAAAAAAGCCTCATACCAAAGGGACAGGGAAGTTACAGGTGGTGGCAGTTGGCAGAAAGAAGGGCATAGAGCCTTGGAGCCCACAATAATTCTGGGAGGACACGAAGCATGAGGGTGTCGGGTCCTGCCAGCTTGGGCAAGGAGAATGTCTGGCATATCCGAGCCACTCAGTTCTAGTAATAAGCCTATGGGCCTTCTTCGTTGTAACAGAGACAAATCAAAAAATTTCTCTGCGGGCCTGGCAGCCCCAGCTGGTGTTCGCTTCCTGAAGGACTCATCCTTTTGGCAAGCAGTCCCAAAGCCTTCATGAGGAGATGTGGCATGTCCTCCTAGAGGGGGACAGGACCACTAGTCCTTCTACCTCTGAGATTCCCAAGTAGAGGGAGGCCTCTGTGCTCTACTTCCTGAATGGGGTGCCTGTTTGTAGGTTCTAAACAAACAGTCCTGCAGGAAATGTCTTGGGGTGGGGGTGGGGTAACAGGGCAGGGGGTGTTCTTTAAGAATCTGGCTATGGGAGGGGAAGGCACAATCCATCATCTCCTGTAACACAGCTTAGAGTACAGTGTGTGGTCCTATTCCCTTGGGTCTTTCTTGGCCTAGAATTTAATAAAGGCCTGTAGAGGGAAAAGTGTGATGTGAAACAACTGGTGTCCCAAGTGTACATTTTAAGTGTTCATAACTGTATAATCCACAAGTTAGTTTTTATTTATGAAAAGCCCCAGTGAGACTAAACTAAGCAGAGGGCATCATAAATGGCATCTTCATGGTAAGTAAGCCAGGCAGGCTGCACTGGCATTTGTTTCCTTCTAGGGCATTGGCTGAAACAGTATGTCTGTCACTCAATCGGCAGTATGTGATCCTAAGTTAACCCCGGGACCCACTTAACCCTGGATCACCTTCCCATCAGAATCCATAGCTGTACCATCTATCTGTCCCCAATTCTAATGAAGATACTTTAATGCTAACCCATCTGCCCAGTGTTGAGGCCACCTACACCCTGCCATCCTAAAAGTCAGAAACCCACATACTTCTCAGTGGCTGTAGCCTCATTGAAGTTGAGGATGCCTGGCAGAATCAGGGACCCTCATGGTAGGATGGAGGGCCTTCACTTGAGAACTGTCAGTAGCTTACTTTGCTTTGGAGAAGAGAGAGAGCATTTGAAACAATAGTTTTATTAAGAACATACCAGCTGGAACTTATTTCACTTCTCAGGATGGCCAAGCCAGGGAAATGCTGCATAGGTGCTTCAGTGGTTGAAAGACAAAGCTTGTAACCCCAGTTGCAGTTGATTTTATGTCTTGTGCTTTGTTTCATGTGAATCAATTTTAAATAAATTAGCATTTTGTTTACCCAACAGTGTCTACATTAGTTTAAGGTGATTATATATGTATATGTGGAAAACCTAATTTATTCCATCTACAGATAATTCATCTGTGTGAGAATGCACTGATCATTTAAGTTAACTCTGCAGTTCTCAGGGGCCACTGGGAATCCAGAAGACTTGACATTAGCTCTGGTCTTCACCAGGCATAAGAATATGTCTCATAATATACTGTGAAGACTGGAGAAATAAAGGTTGACATCAACATGGTAGGTGAATATTAGGTGAACAACTACTTTCAAAGATGCTGACGGTAATTGGGGCAAATGGGACAGGTTCTCTAATGAGTAACTCTAAGCTTGACCTTTGGCTCCCTTCCCTTCCACCCTT